TTCTTATTTAAATTTATATTTCGCATTTAGCGTTACAAAGAATAGCAATTGTTTTTTCCAATTGCTTTGTTCCCGTTGTTCTTGACAAAAATACAGAAAAAATGCTTGATGTCAATTTGAAAAATAGCTTGATACGTGTCATTTATTTCTTTTCCGGGAAAAAAAACGTTTCATATACAATTATATAAAATTATATATAATTTTTTACAATTATATAAAATATATATTAATATTACTAATATTTTTAATGCAACCTATTAACATTAATAAAACAGAAAAAATGTAATCAAAGACGGATAGAAAAAACCCTATTGATCTTAGTTTTCAATTCAATTCAATCATACGTACATGTTGTCGGAGTTTACACGGAATTGATCGAGTGTGATAGATGTAAAATATTGACGGAATTAAAATTCTTTCGTTAATGCAATAGTATTGAAGATAAGATTAAACGTGAATAATATGTCTTATCAAAATGGATAAAAACTCTAACATGTTTTCAAAATTAACTAATTGATATTCGTTAATCGAATATCTTTTGAATTATATAACGATGCGAGAGTGAAAATAACAAGTTTTTTTACATTTTCGAAATCGATTAACTACGAACACATAACGATAATATTGACAATAAAAACTAGGTTAACAATAAACTCTCAATTAATGCAAAATAAAAAAAAATGAATTTCCCAAATGGAACAATAAGTAAGTAATAAGTCACGATAACGTCAATCATAAATGATTGAAAAATTACTTTTAATGTCATTTTGACGTCATAATGACTGTTGTTCTGCTTGGAAAATTTTCCACAAATTTACTGTACATATCTTATCACATATATCAATGATAAAATGAAAAATAATGGAGGAACTATTGAAAGCTTTACAACTTCAAGCTTTTACAATGAAACAGTTGAAAACAATATGACATAAAGTTTACATTATATACAAATAGAAAAAAGAATAAATATTTAAAAGGACATTCAGGGCAAAGGTCATTGCTGATAACAAATGACGACGACGACAACGACGATGACGACGTACCAGAGCCGACAGACACGTGGAAGCGCAGCTTGTCGCCGCTGGAGATGTGCGCGACGTCGAACTGCTGGACAATTCTGGAGGAGACGGTGCCCTTGCCGGACGCCGGCGCGCCCAGGATGACGGCCCTGAGGGGCCTGAGGGCCGTCGCAGCGGCGGCGTGACACGTGGTGATCGCCACCATGGGAGGCCGCGGTCTACGGGACTGGCGACTTCCTGCAATCGACAGCGGTGACGACGGCAACCGTCTGAGTGCCGTGACGTTCTCGCATCGTCCGCGTCAAACTGACTCTACCCTCGATCCCTACTATTGCCTTCGCGCGGACTTTGATACGTTAAAGGCCTTAAAGGCCACGGCACCCCGGCGAAGCGCCGTGACGCGCTGTGACGTAACCGCGACGCGCCGTTTCGTAACGTTGCGTCACGTCGCGCAGACTCGAGCCGAGACAGAACGATGGATCATGATAATATAACGTCAGAGATGTTAGAATGACGTCGAAATCGTGACTGACTGGAAATTACGTGACTTGTAATCATTTTGAAGCTATTTTGATGTCATATTTTGTTTGAAAGAATGCTGACGGGAACGCGGAGAAATTGAATGACCCGCGTGTTTTTCCCTGTCAATAGGTGCGTTCGGTATTGCAAATCGGAGACGTCCGTTTCCTCTTTTACCTCGAAAATCGTTCGGCAACTCGCATCTTCCTGCTACATGTTATCTCATCTGCGTTCAGTATTAATATTTCTAGAGTCAATCGAGCTGCTCGATCAATTCCGGATTCAAAGACCGCGCTAATTAGCAGAGCTAATGCAGATTTTCGCGCCTAAATTAAATTCATAACCTGTATATTTATGATAATCCAACTGATTCGTTAACACGTAACGTACATTTATCTCTTTTAATACTTCTATTTTACAAATAATGTATTTGAACTATTATAATGTCTGTGTCTACAAATGCTCAAACAAATGCTATCAAGTAGAAATTGATGGAGTTTATTTATAATATTATATATAATATTTAACGAGAAAAGTAAGTTTTTAATTTTTTTCCTTTTTATGAATTTGAAGTTACGTATTTGAAAACAAAGAATTTGCTACTTTATTTTTAGATCATGTTGCATATAGAATGAAATAAAATCAAAAACTGTATTATATATTAAAGACTTTAACGAATATAAATCAAGTGATATAACCCATATAGCACAGATATTGCAGCAACGTAAAAATGTCCGTTTTAAAAATATTGATATGTAATATTGCAGCAATATTACATAATATATATTAGGTTTTGCGCACATTGGAGGAATATTTGCAGTATTATTGCAGAAACATTGTAATAATGCAGCAACATTGCTGTAATATTACAACGTTACTGCAATATTTATTATTAAGATTTTGTACTATATAAATTTAAAATAAAAAATTAGAAGTAGGAGTTAAATTAAAGAGTTAATGTAACATACAATGAATACAAATAAAATATGATTTCATAATTATGTCTTTATATTTTATAGGCGTGTTCCGATATACACTGTCTATATACAGTAGTATTGAAAATCTACAGCATACGTAACATGAACTATAAATTTTCAGTACTGACTGCAGATCGGAACACAGCCTATACGTCTTATATCTTATTATTATGTCCATTGTGTATTATATTTAATCCTTACTTCTAATTGTTTTATGTCTATAAGTTATAGGCACAATTCCTATAAATTATAGACATTGACTATGTTTACACTTTATGTCTGTTTCCACTAATGTAGATTAATCTCAGTTTAACTCTTTTTCTAATCTTTAGAACTAGGAAAAGACAAAGATAAGTTGAACTGAGATTAAAATTATTCTATATTGGTAGAAATGGACATTAATTGGGTTTAATAATATTCGTAGTTAGAAACTAATCAGTCATTCCATTTTTCAGAAGAATATAATTATGAGATTTGTCAGTTTCATAATTACAGATGCCGTATAAATGCCGTATAAAATAATCATTAATTCCTATTCTTCTATTATGTTCAGGTCTTTACTTTATTGGATTATACATAAATCAATACAATGTATACAAGTCTTAATATTTAAAGTGAGCTTTCTAGCAGAGGCACAAATCGACATAATGACAAGAGTCATTCTTGTCTTTGTTTTTTACTGATTTTTGAACAAGGACAGGATGACTCTTGTGTCAATTTGTGTTGCTTTTGCTAGAAAAATTTTAAAAATACATTGCTGAAGTAATGTTGCAAAAAGAAGTCTTCGCAATGTTTCTGCAATATTGTATTGCAGTATTGTATATGCAACGTTGAAATGTATGTTGCAGCAATGTTGCTACAAATTTTTGTGCTGTACGGGAATTTATAAATTGCTGAAATTTATTTTGTAATGTAATATTTTCTTTTAAGAAAACATATACCTTGCATATGAGTCTGCTACTTTCATGTGTAATCTATTTTTATATAAGACTATTAATCAGTTTCTAGTAAAGCGAAAAACATTTTCAATTAATAGAGTATTTTTTATTTATTCATAAAAATAAACAATTTTTTTTTATAATATCTAACCTTAAAGGACAGTTTAAAGCTCTGTAGCGTTCGGAATTAATTCTTGGCACTCGAATTGCTCGAAAATCACATGATCAAGCTCATTTGCTAGTTCGCATCTCAGATATATATTGCCGAACGCACCTAGTAGTGAGTGAAATGAGCGAATGATGTTATGCCGCCATATTGCCG